CCACGATGTAACCATGATTAAACTATCACATCATTTGTTGGTTTCGACCAAATTACTACCACTCCTGGAATTTTTGAATGCATGCCACTACAACTATGTCTTTGAAATTAGTTTCAAATCTGTAGACTTGCAGCAGTCACTAAATTTGGAGTAATATCCTCTTCGCATGTTTTCTAGATGGGATAATACAACACGGATGACGAACTTATTTTTGAAACACATTGTAGCCGATTTTCTTTTTCATTTTCCGCAAATGTGTCCAAAACTCCACATGAGATCTACACGTGCCTGCATTCAAATTTCCGTAATTTCAACCATAAAACTCACAAATTTTTCTAATCATGGTATGACGTAGCTGAAAGCTTGCTCTATCATACAGCACATTTTTTAAGCGATAGGATTTATTTTCATGAAAAATCGGGACAAAATTGATGATGACTGCCTGCGTGCCTCGGCAGTGGTAATCGCCAACAGTTTGAAGGCTTCCGTTATCAAGGAAAGATGCTACCACGAAATTCGAATGCTGTGCTGTATTTGCTACTTTTTGAGTAATGTGTACACCAAATTTTATATCCCTATGTTGTTCCGTTTTGTTTTTATCAGAAAAAATACTAGGCTACAAAACCTTTGGGACACCCTGTATATAACTTTGTAGAGCATTGGACGGCTGATTCCAAATCTATCTTCCTTTTCTGTGAAACGACTCTCCGAAGGAATTCGTGAACTTTTGAAGGTCCGATGTCATGCTGTAGGTGGCACAAACTTTCGAAACTTACTCAGATTACTTATATGGCCTGTCCTTACGTGACGTGCGGGCCCCAATATAGAAGTTTTCCTCTCCCTCGCTTCAGATTCCACGATATTCTTGATTGTCGTCGATGGCTGCGTCCATGAGTTTTAGGGGCAAAAGTCGTACCTAACTGATTTCTCAGTCGGTACATCCTAGATAATCGCCGAGGGTAGGCGGCCATGTGATTTCTGGGCAAGCGGGCACCGGAAAAATAGTCCGCTGATTTCTTGCGGTCCGCTTGCAGATTTTCAAAAAAATGTTGGACAATTTTGACGAACGCTCGAAGAACAATCGCGGCTTGTCATAGATTAGTGGCGGCGCAGTGGCCGCATTCTCGCGGACATTCCGCGAAAATATGCATAAATTTCGGGGGCGCACGGTCCTTTATGAAGGACCGCACAGCCTACGGGTACCTTCCTGTGAGCAAAAGTACCCCAAACTAGGGTAATTACATGCGAGCGATGGCTCGCATCTGCGATCCATGGCGCGAAGCGCCTGCTCCCGGCGATTATCTCAGTCCGTGCCACGGGCACGCTTAGACATTCGCCGAGGCAGGCGGTCCGCAAACTCGCGCTTTTCTGCAATCGGTCAGCAAAATTTTGGGGCATGGCCAAACCTTTAGCAAGCGGTCTTCTGCCAGCGGACAGAAATAAAACAATTTCTGCAAGCGTTCGTCAAATAATTTCTTTCAGCGAGCGCTGGCCAAATTTTCAGCAGGCGTTCGAAGTCTATTTACGCAGTTTCGGACGTACGCCGAGTATAGGTAAGACCCTTTGTGGCAGAGGTGTCATCGCTGGTTTGATTATCCGAGTTTGGGGTACTTTTTCTCAGCGGAAAATACCTACGGGCTGCGCGGCCTTCCAGAAAGGACCGTGCGGCCCCCAATAATTTTGCTTGTTCTCGCGGAAAGTCTGCGAAAATGCGACAACCGCACCGCAACTAATCTACAGAAAAAACGCTATTCTTCTCTGAGCATTTGCCTAAAAATTGGTCAACATTCCTCCAAAGTTCTGCAAGCGGGTCGCAAAAAATCAGCGATCTCTAATTCCGGTGCCTGCTTGCCCAAAAGTTGCATGGCCGCCTGCCCCCGGCGATTATCTGAGCGTCTGCCCATCTCCTCAGATAATCGCCGGGGGCAGGCGGCCATGCCATTTTTGGGCAAGCGGGCACCGGAAAAATAGTTCGCTGATTTCTTGCGGTCCGCTTGCAGATATTTGGAAGAATTTTGGCGAAATTTTGAACGAATGCTTGAAAAACAATTGCGGTTTCCTTGCAGATTAGCTGCGGCGCAGTGGCCGCATTCTCGCGGATTTTCCGCGAGAATATGCAAGATTTTCGGGGGCCGCACGGTTCTTTATGGAGGACCGCGCAGCCCCCAGGTACTTTCCGCTGAGAGAAAGTACCTCAAACTTGAGTAATTAAACCATCGATGACTCCTCTGCCATGTAGAGTCTCACTTTTGCTCCTCGTATGCCCGAAATTGCTCAAAAACCGTCCGAGCCCAGCTGAAAATTTGACCAGCGCTCGCTGAAAGAGATTATTTGACGAGCGCCTGCAGAAAATTCTGTGTTGCTGCCCGCTGGCAGAACATTAGATAGTAAAGGAAGTGCCGCCCGCTGAAGGTTTGGCCACGCCCCAAAATTCTGCTGAGCGCCTGCAGAAAAACGCGAGTTTGCGGACCGCCTGCCCCCGGCGATTGTCTGAGTCGTTGTAGGTCTTCCTCGAGGACGTTTCGCTTTGTGAAAAATCCACTTTGATGTTCTTAGTGTCCATCTGTCGTCTGTTCTTCTCATTATGTGACCGGCCCATCCTCAGATAATCGCCGGGGGCAAGCGGCCATGCGAATTTTGAGCAAGCGGGCACCGGAAAAATAGTTCGCTGATTTTTTGTGGTCCGCTTGCAGAAATTTGGAATAATTTTGGCCAATTTTTAGACGAACGCTCGAAGATCTATCGCTGTTTTTCTATACATAGGTTGCGGCCGCACAGCCCTCAGGTACTTTCCGCTGGAGGAAAGTACCCCAAACTTGGGTAATAAAACCATCTGATGGCACCTCTGCCACATAGAGTCTCTTCTTTTCTCGCCGTACGCCCGAAACTGCGTAAAAAGAGTCTGAGCGCCTGCTGAAAGTTTGGCCAGCGCTCGCTGAAAGAGATTGTTTGACGAGCGCTTGCAGAAAATTTTGTATTGATGCCCGCTTGCAGAAAACGCAAATACCGCCCGCTGAAGATTTGGCCACGCCCCGAAATCCTGCTGACCGCCTGCAGAAAAGCGCGAGTTTGCGGACCGCCTGCCCCCGGCGATTATCTGAGTCGGTGTTTGGCTTTCGCGACGTATTCCGCTGGGTCACGAAAACGGGACATTCTTCTCATATCCGTGCTGCGAAGTCCGACTACTCAGATAATCGCCGGGGGCAGGCGTTCCGCAAACTCGCGCTTTTCTGCAGGCGGTCAGCAGAATTTTGGGGCGTGGCCAAACCTTCAGCGGGCGGTACTTCCGCGTTCTGCCAGCGGGCAGCAATACAGAATTTTCTGTGAGCGCTCGTCAAATAATATCTTCCAGCGAGCGCTGGCCAAATTTTCAGCAAGCGCTCGGACTCTTTTTAGGTATTTTCGGGCGTACGTCGAGCGCAGGTAAGACTCTGTGTGGCAGAGGTGTCACCGTTGGTTCAATTACTCAAGTTTGAGGTACTTTCTCTCAGCGGAAAGTACCTGGGGGTTGCGCGGTCCTCCACAAAGGGACGTGCGGCCCTCGAAATTTTTGCATATTCTCGCGGAAAGTCCGCGAGAATGCGGCCACTGCGCCGCAGCTAATCCACAAAGAAACCGCGATTGTTCTTCAAGCATTCGTCTTTTATTTTGCCAACTTTCTTCCAAATTTCTGCAAGCGGGCCGCAAAAAATCAACGAACTATTTTTCCGGTGCGCGCTTGCTCAAAATTCGCATGGCCGCCTGCCCCCGCCGGTTATCTGAGTACTCAGACAATTGCTGGGGGCAGGCGGGCACCGGAAAAATAGATTGCTAATTTCTCGCACCCCGCTCGCGGATTTTTTGCAAAGCAATCACTTTTCGGAAGACCGCTTGCTGAGCCAGCGGATTTTTGAGAGATCGCCTGTTGAATTTTTTTCGCTCTTATCTTTTGCAGATATATTGCTGAATTTCTGAGAAATCGAGAACTCAGCAAGCGGTCTTCCGAAAAGTCCTGATTGCTTTCCAAAAAATCCGCGAGCGGGGTGCGAGAGATCAGCAATCTATTTTTCCGGTGCCCGCCTACCCCCGGCGATTGTCTGAGTAGATGTTGCTTGTGTTGGCTCATCCTCAGAAGACTGCGCTCAAGCACTCTATGGGTGGTCCGTAGAGCTTTCGACATGACTACAGTGTCGGCCCAAGTCTCAGCTGCGTAACAGAGCGCCGGGAGAACGGTTGAGTCGAACAGGTGGGCACGAAGCTCCGGGTCCTTCAGTTGGTTCGTGTCTTCCTTCAGAGGCCCGAAGGCGGCCCAAGCTGCTCTTCTTTTCCTGTTAAGCTCTTCCCTTGAGTCGTAAGGCAGTCTCCATGGCGTGTCGTCCAGGCAGACGTGTCGTTTTTGTCCAATCCAAAAGGCGCCCTGAGGACCCTGACATCTTTCTTTCGTTCTTGCTACCACCAAGTGCCTAGGCGTGATCGATGTGCAGGGTTTCTTTCTATTCTTCTACTACAAGAGCAGACTTACTAGACCTACTCCTGATTTCCACGGGCCGATTACTAACCCGGGTGTGGAGCGGGGAGGATCGTCTCACGACCGGAAAAAAGACGGTAGAAGATCTGGCCTGGCAGAGTCACTTAGCAAAAAGCTGCGCTAACACAGCTGAGATTCAAATTTGTGTTAGGTATATTGACTAGTTGAGCGGAAAGGAAACATGCCCTTGGAAATCGCACAGGTATTTTTGTCCAGCTTTTTGCTAATTTTATACCACTCAAAACTACACAGATTTAAATTTTTGAACACTCATAACTTATTTCGGTGAACTGTTCCGCAGAAATGAAATCATCGTTCAATGCTTCAAAGAGTGATATAGATTCCACGTGGAAGGGCCATTTCTACCGAATAAGGTTCCCTTGTCAGAATACTCGCTTTTGAGATATTGCTTAAGTGGTTACTGAAATTATTTTTTGGCTGAATGCTTTGGTAAGGCATTTGAGTTTTAACTCAAATCGATTTTTTTTTGCAGAGTATTTTTACGTTTTTCAATGGACAGAGCGTGCAGACGATAGCGGACGAGTGGACGGTGCTCTACTACAACATGTTTTTTACAAGGTATGCCAAAACTACATTTTTGGTCTCACATACTCAGATGCTTTACACCAATGAAGCTGCTTCTTCTCGTATATCTTTGTCTCACAAAACAAATATTTGCAGTTTACCCGCACTTATTATGGGTGTTCTCGACAGGCCAGCCCCAATCACAAGTTTAATAAAATATCCGCCTATCTATCAATACTATCAAAACTCGTTGAGCAACTGGGTACGGTCTCATGTGTAGCGAACTACATCTGTTTTGTTGTTGCTTAGGGTCAGTTCCGCTGGTGCCTTTGTGGAGCAGTGCAAGCCTTGGTTATTGCTGGAATGAATGTTGCCTTCTGGAATGGGGGAGGTGGGTCTTTTTGTCCGTCAATCATAAAAGATTGTCACGCTTACATTTGTAATGTAAATGATGGGCAGACGGATAACGCTTCAAGAGTTCATATTATAATCGTTTTCCTTTGGTACCTTTCAAGATTGAACTTCTTGACACTCATCTTTGACTAATGTTTGGAGTGGGGTGTAGGGCGTTAGGCGACAAACCCAGAGTTGTGGACCCTGTAACACCTTCTGTGCGAAACTTTTTCTGTGACAAAAACAGGGGGAATGGGGTCAGAGACGATGCGTAATTCGACAGCATTGAAAAAGTGGTCGTAGACATAGTCGTGAACTACGGGGTTTACCTGCCTGCGTTTTGCATGTTTTTCGCCTAACACTTGCTCTCCCTTAGGGTGGCATTCAATGGGATTCGGTATTATTGCTAACAATCACTCATCAATTAGCAAAGTTTAGTTGCGATTATCTAGTTGTCACAGTACGATCCGCACTTCGGCAGTCAAGACAATGTGAAAAGAGCGCTATATAAGGCGCTATATAGTCCCTCTTAAACGCAGTGTCTCGGCAGAATCGCTTCCCAGTTTTTCACCTTTTCGGAGCCTTCTCGATGTGAGGAATCTATATCTTGGCTTTCTAGTGCATAAAAATGGCGAAAATGAGCTTTTTTCGAAGCTTGTTTTCATTGAAAATAGCCAGAAAAGCCCGTCTCCTTCGTTTCAGGACCGAGACATCGCCTTGAAACGTTATTTTCTGCATCCTGTGTGCTGCGAGGGACAAAAAGGAGGGAAATGAGATGCACAGCAGCGGCTGAGTTGTATGGCTGCTAGTGAAGAAGTAGCTGGAGGAACGAAGAGGCTGGCTCTTCTGTGATCGATTGCAAGGAAGTGTAGAGTACTGCCTTTTTGAAAATTTTGCGCCTTGCAAAATGATCGCGACATGATGAAGAGGAAGACTGTACATAAGATGCTGATTATACTCTGCCCTGTTGCCCTGTCTGCCCCATTCAACTCCTTCCTGTTTTGTTGAACACGAAGGAGTTGATGAGAATATTTCTGGAGCACATTGCGGGTAATGAAAAAGTAACAATCGACCAGAGCTCCAACCACGATGTCCGCTTCAGGTAACGAGGCTGGAATGTTGTGCTTTAATCCTGGTACAGACATTTGCATTAAGAGAGTGCGCGCGCTATAATAAGACACGGTAAAAGCGCGGCTCATAGAGAGCGTGAAGGAAGCTGCAATGAGGAAGTCGAACATAGCCAATGAATCAAATAAACAAAAGATGTAACAGCGATAATATTCGACGAGATTCTGGCAACACTGGAGCAGCTGTACGATGTGCTTATCTGAGAAATTACGATGAGGTTCCACTATCAAACTGAAAAAGGCAGATTTTCAAACCATAAGAGTGAATTAAAAGTGTTGGGAAGCGAAAATTCCTGACCTCAAAAGCGCTGGAATCAAAAGCTTATTAGGACATCCGGCTCAACCGAACCCAAAATGAGGCAGCGGCTTATTGCCGCAAGTGACCGAAAATGCAATATTAAACGGAATTTATCTACATAGAGCCTGTGCTGACAATGCAAAAACTTTTGAGAATTAAAAGACTAGATTGTGGCTAGCGCTTGAAAACTTTCGAAGCAAGCAAGAAAGAATACACCAAATAGGAGCGCTGCTGCAGTGAAGATTATGGAAGGGAATGCAAATGAACGAGTAGTTTTCCAAACCGACAAGCAGGCAAGGCATAAGGAAAATAATTACTCAACTGTCGCACGTCCTCCTTGGATTTCGTTTTCTGCAATGCATGACGTACAATACCGCTCATAATTCGTCAAAAAAGTCGCCGAACTGCGGCGCACTCCGCCACACTCCGCCACAGTGCGCCGGAGTGTGGCAGAGTGCGGCGGAGTGTGGCAGAGTGCGCCGGAGTGCGGCAGAGTGCGCCGGAGTGCGCCACACTCCGCCGCAGTGCGCCGGAATGATCGTCAATTTAGCCATATCTCGCTTCAGAATGGACCAATTCTGAATCCGAGGACACCGTTCGATTCAGCTCGACGAGACGCATCATCTTATATATGAAGCTGAACTTCTGTTTGTCTGTTTGTCTGTACGTATGTTCCGAATAGAAAAATCCATTTCTGAACCGATCCGGACCAAACTTGGCACACATACACTTCGGGCACCGGCGGATGTCATAGGCTACTTTTCTTTATCGATCGATATCGATTTTATCGATTTTTAGCGATTTTTTTGCACAGTTCACCTATGGGGCTGGGAGTTTGCATAGGGGGGTAATCGAGCATGGGGATTCCGAATACAATATTAGTTTTCGATTATCGATTACTTTTATCGATTTTATCGATTTTTTTTGCAAAGTTTGATCTACGGGGTGGGAGTTTGCACAATCACAATGGTAATCGAGCATGGGGATTCCGAATACAATATTAGTTTTCAGATTATCGATTATTATTATGGTTGAATTCAGTGTGCTGATAACAGTATTACCATTGATCTGTCGCTGATGACACATAGGCAGTATACTATAGGAGTATGGTAGAGAGCCACTCTGACCGAATTTGTTCTAAGATCTGCTCAAGATCACAATACCGCGCACAGAATGTCAAAATTTCCGTAGTACTCTGCGTTGATACCACTGCTTCCAAAGTGCGTGATATCGGGGAAGTTCGCGACATATCAGGATCCGCGAAACCATGCAAATCACGCAGAGAACGCAACGCCATAACATCCTTCGGAATGAATATATTCCGAATCCAGAAGCAGCATTGTGTTCAGATCGTCGAGGCAAATATTTTGATATACAGTATGCTCTCGATATTCCATTTCCAGTTTTTTTCGAATTTTTTTCTGTGGATGTCTTTTCGCAAGGATGTAACGCAGCGTCTGTGTAACATAAAAGATTCTAGTAAGCACTGTTCGATAGTACTGTCCTTGTAGATTATCGTGCGTTCAAGAGTAGCTGCAGGCTGTCTCCAAAAGAGACAGAAGCATTGGTGAATTTTGGAAAAATCACGCGTTTCTAAATTCTACTCGCCGTAACTTCCTTCGGAATGAACATATTCTGAATCCGAAGAGAGTTTTGTGCTCAGTTCATCAAGGCAAATCTTTCGATATACACCATATCCCTGATAGTACTCTGCGTTGATACCACTGCTT